TTTGTTCCAATTCTTGTGTATTCCAAATTGTTTCTCTCAAATCTGTCCTTCTATCCCCCCTCCCCCTTTCCTGGGATTGAAGCCAGGGATTTTGCAGCTACCCCCAGCCTTTATTTTGAGATAGGGTCTAGCCAAGTAACTTGTAATCCTTCTGCTCTGGCACCCTGTGTCCCCCATAATTTGACAAGAACTTGGCTGGCTATCTGGGATTCAACCTAAGCTCCTAACTACCTAAGGTTTTTCAGAATCTACCCCCCTTCCCCCACCTTTCCAATGTTCTCTTCCTACTTTGCTTTTCCTGTGTTGCTTTGGTTAAACTTTAACAAGTTCAGCATTCCTCATGCTGCCCCCACAAAAACATACTGTCATCACAGACCATGACTTTGCTTTTCCTACCTAGAGGTACATACAAGCCTTTTTTGAAGTCCCATCTTCATACAATACACAAAAGATGTATTCCTAAATTCCCTTCACTGTTTTTTTGTTTATAACTCCTTCCAAGATCCTATCAAAATTCTTTGATTCTGTGTCCATCAGCGGTCCTAAGTTGAAATGATTCAGAAGAGTTGGACTGAATATGAAGTTTAAGAATAACATTGGACTTATATTTCCTTTTGACGTATTGTTAGTGTAATGGAAATAAAAATCTAGGTATGTCTAAAAGAGATCACTGAATGTAAAAAAATTGTAGGTGCTAAATGGATTTGTTGCCATTGGCTTAATTTCTTCCTCTAACCGTGGTAAAATGTCTTAGTTTAGAATAGTAACATAGGCCAGACAAAGCAACACTTAAGGCTAAGAGTAAACTGCTTCTGGCAGAATGGTGCACACCTGTAGTATCAACACTCTGGGAGGCTAAGGCAGGTTTGAGTCCAGCCTGGGCAACTTAGTGAGACCCTGACTCCAAATTAAAGAATTAAAGGCTGCACATAGTAGCAGAGCATGCCTGTAATCCTTGCACTTAGGAGGCTGAACCTGGAGGATCACCTTGAGTTAAGAGGTCAGCCTGAACCACGTAGTAAAACCCTGTCTCAAAAAAGAAACAGTAAGGGCTGAGCATGTAGCTCTGTGCAAAGGGCCTGGGATTCAGTCCGAGGGAGGGATGGATGGACAGGACATATGCAAGACTTCCTGAGGTCCATGGAGTTCTGGCCTCAGGGAATCCAGAAACCTAGGACATGGTATGTACAAAATGTCAGGGTTAGGCCTTGTTTATGGGAGGGGTAGTGCCCACTGTTTTCATCTGATTCTGCAGGGCTGCCCTTAAAGTTTTGTAGTCTCATGGTTGTGTATCATATTTCACTCCTGCAGTTAGTTCCATTCATATGCCTCATGTCTTGTGCTGTAAGCCGGGAGGAATCTAGAACGCTGCGCAGAGCAGTGTTTCCCAACGTATTCTGTAAACTACATGGGTCAGAATCTTGAGTGACTGTTAAAAATAGAGATCCTTGGGCTTTACAATATGCAGAATATGAGCTGGGATATGGAAATCTGCATTTTAAACTTAACAACTCATTCTTCGACATTCTAGTTTAAGAACCATTGTGGTAGAACCAAGGAGAAACAAACTCATTTAAATGTAGTAGGGATTTTTATTAAAATGGCTTACTAGTAACTAACACTAAGCACTTCATCTGCCTAGTACTTTCCTAAATATGTTATATAGATTAAGTACTTAAATGGCTGTGTCAATCATATTTTTCATTGTGGGGAAATGGGCACAGAGAGGTTAAGTACACATATCAAAGACATGTGGTAAATGGTGAAACTGGTTCCTAATCACTACTCTATAATAGCCTGGTTTTTTTTTGTACTGGAGACTGAACCTAGGGCCTCTGTATGGAGCCCTTCTTAAAAATACAGTGTCTCTGGCTGGAGATTTAGCTCAGTAGTTCCGCTGCCTGCCTCACAAGCACAAGGACCGGAGTTTGATCCCTGGTACCACACACACACAAAAAACTACAGTATCTCAGGCTGGGGATTTAGCTGTCAGTGGCTTCGCTGCCTGCTGCGCAAGCACAAGGACCCAAGTTCGATCCCCAGTACCAAAAAAAAGACCAGTATCTCTAAGTCTGGGCTCAGATTTTTGATCTTCCTGCTTCAGCCTCCAGCAGTGCTAGGAAAACAGGTTTGTGTCACCATGCCTGGCTTCTCTATTGTCTTTCTCAAGAATAAATATTTTACTAACATCCAGGTTTTTGTTTTGTAGCCTAAGAAATGTTGATTGTTGGTATTTTACTATCATTTAAAGCTTCACTTTGAAACAAATGTAAAATCATTGGGTTTTTTTGAGACAGGGTCTCACTATGCAGTTCAGGCTGGCCCCAAACTTGGTGATCCTCCTGCCACAGCCTTCCGAGTGCTGGGATTACAGGTGTGCACCACCATGCCTGCCTGGTTTTTTTTTGGGTACCGGGGATCGAACTTGGGTCCTTGCGCTTGCGCAGCAGGCAGCGAAACCACTGAGCTAAATCTCTGGCCCCTGTTTTTCTCTTTTAAGAATAGCTGAAGTTGTGGGGGTGGTGGGACAAGCCTGTAATCTCAGCACTCTGGGAGGCTGAGGCTCCAACAACTCAGGGAAACCTGTCTCAAAAAATAAAAAGGATTAGGGATACAGATCATAGCAAAGGCTCTGGGTCAATCTCCAACACTGGGTGGAAATAGCTAAAAGAATCAAGAAATATATCATCTGAATACATACCTAAAACAAATGCATATCTAAAAAAATTCCAGTTAAATCCTTCTACATTGTTTTGATTATATACAATTCAATGCTCTTCATCCTTGATATGTAGTTTGTCTCATTTTGGTAATGTTAACTTGTTTACTTTAACAAAAGAATTTAAAAGGTTTTCAGATACAGCAAGACAAAATAAGCAATTTCACGCATTTCCTCAGTATGTCAAATATATTCTGTATCAAGCAAGTTAAGCTAAATATTAAGATCACAAAAAATAACTTCCAATATTGTACAGCTAAGAAACTTGTGATTTAGAGAAATCAGCCAGCCAAAAGCCAGTCAGCTGGTTAATGGCATTAACCAGTAAGGTTTTCTTGTACTCTTTGTATTTTCCATAGCTGTCTACATTTTATTGTTTTTTGAATTCAGTGATCTTCCTGCCTCAGCGTCTGAGTAATGGGATTACAGGTGTGCTGTCCATTATTTTACTATGCTGTCATAAAACAGGTTGTGTTTTGTCTTGATGCCTGATACCAGTAATTTACCTTACTGGAACTCTGATTTGTGAAGCTCTCTAGAGTTCAGTCTGCAAAATGACCATCATCCTGGTTAACAATTATTATTCATGCTCCTGCAATCCAACAGTACTCAATACCTTTGAGCACTCTCTAAATGTTTGTTAAGATAATTTTAGCTGCGAGGTGTGGTGGCATTACATTATTCCTGTAATCCCAACACAGGAGAGGCTGACTGACGCAGGAGGATCACTGCCAGTTTGAGGCCAGCCTGGGCTACAATAGTGAGTTCAAGCCCAGCGTGAACTACACAGTGAGACCCTATCTCAAAAACAAAAAAACCCAACTAATTTTGGAAGATGTGAATATTACATCTAGCAACTTCTTGTGCTATTAACTCACATCTGATACAGCCATATCTTATTTGTAAGATAGCATCAGCTACATCCTAGCTATTCCAGAATGAGTATTTATAGTGAAGTGTGACACTATATAAGGCTTAATTTTTTCCACTTTCCTAAACGAAGATTTTTCATTTAAAATATTTCTTAACACAATTCTATCTTAATCTATCTCAGGGGTTTGACACAGAACATAAAACACTTTCAACCCTTATCTTTGTATTTTCATTTACCTCTGCAAGTAGTAGCTCTTCCTCCCTGACAAGCTGGCACTCCTTAGATGGTCTCAGTGTAGCAGACACTGTCCTAAGTACTTTACAGACATTATCTCACCTAGCCCTTAGAATAATCCTGCAAAAAGACACTGCTATTATTCAGGCTTTAGATGAAAACAGCAACGAAAAAAGACACCAAGAAACTTAAGTCCCAGGTACTAAGTGTTGCAGCTGTACTCTAACTCCATTCTGATCTTAATCTCTCTTCTATGGCTTCTCAAGGGTAAAAGAAACTGCAACTCAGAGACTAACTCAAAATACCCTGGTAAATAAAGCTGAAATCTTTATTTCTTCTACTCTACTAGAAAAGGAAGTATGGGATTGGACTCTGAAGCCAGAAAAGCTGGGTTGAGATTCTCCCTGTTACTTAATAGCCAGGTGACTTTGAGAGTTTTCTCATTCCCGCAATTTCCTCATCTTCAAAATGTGGACAATAGAATTTGTTGAGGAATAAGGAAATAAGTAGACACAAAGTATTCAGGGGAGTAGTAGGCACTGGATGCTTTCACTTCCAACCTACTTCTTCTAAGGAAAAAAAAGCAAAAAGAAAGTCATATTTGGTACTCTGAGAAAGCAGCTGTACTCCAGGGGTGAAGAGAATAAATGCTCACATTATGCTAGTTTGGGTTCAAATCCCAAGCAGGTGTCCCTTAGAAAGTTAACCTCCCAAAACTTCAGCATCTTCTCTGTGATACTGAGAGAAGTTCCAGCTCACAATGTTACTGGTGAGATGAGGTTATACAATTGGTACCTGGTGAGTGTTCAGTAACTATTAACCACCAATCATCCCTGCATCTCCAGCAGTTACAGCAGAATGTTTAATGAATAAGCGCTAAGAGTTCTGTGCTTTCCTTTGCCAGTCTTCTCATTTTCTTCCTGGCATCATCCTATTTTAAAATTAAATAACAACATTTCCCTCATTATAGGGACCAGAATAACTGCAAGGAAAATGCAACTTTGTTACCTTTTGAAGTTGCCACTTAAACTAATATTAAAAAAAAAATTCAGCAAAAGGAGTACAAACAGCAACCAATGCAAACTACCGGCACAGAAACAGAAATGGAATTTTCACCTTATTAATCACATGAAGGACTATTAGAAAATATTCACAATTGCTGCAATTAAGACATATTTTTTCTTTTTCTACTTTTAATCAAAGTTCCTCTTTATTCCTATATTTTTACAAAATCCACCTCAACATTAGACTCATGCATTAATAAGTATCTTGCCCAAATAGTGTAGCTAGGTAAATATACGGCAGAACTATTTTTATGGACTGTCTTACAGATGATTGCCTAAGGTACAGTCTATTTATGTAAAAAGTTATACAAGTGCTTAAGTTCCATTAATACTCCACAATTAACTGAGTGGGAAACTTTCCCAGGCTAGTACTTAACAAAATATCGCGCATCTTTTTTCAATACCATCTCTTTCCCCAAGCATCTTCATACTGTTCCTACAGCTCTTAATATGACTTTAATATCAACTAAAGGGCACATAAACAATAAGCTCCCTACTATCCCTGGCATGAACTTTAAAACTTAAGTAATATATTACTAACACAATCACTTTAAAAATAAAAATTTATTAATCTAACATGATTGTCAAAAACCTTAATTAAGCTAAGCAAACATTTTACTTAAGCTTTATGCTCTTTTTAACTCCAGCACGAATGCCCGATAATTCACCACTATAACGTTGGTCTTCTCTTCGAACTTCACGAACCTGGCCTCTTCTTCGAATTTTGGCTCTTCTGAACTTCTCCCTATGTTTCACTCTGGGATTGCGGTCAATCTTTTTCCTCCTAGGTGTGAGTCCCTTATTTTTAGCAATCTGATAGGTAATGGCTCTCTTTGCATTCTGATCTTCAAGAGCCTGTTCTTCAGCGCAAGTTTCTTCTTTCTTTCTCTTCAACTTTTGCCTGTCCTCCATTTCTATGTAGTATTTCAGTGCAGCTTCTTCATTAAAATCTGAATCACCAGAGAGATTTCGAGAAGCGGAAGTCTTTGAAGCAGACTTTGGCTTGGCCTTGGTGAGTTTTGCTTTTGGGTTCAATTCTTTCCTTATAGGACCATTCTTCAATGTAAGCAGATGTCGAATTTCAGAGGACAGTTTCTGATCCACAACTGACAGCTTGTTGATCAGATTTCGGTAGGTAACAAGCCTTTCTATGACAGGATGTCCATGTGCGGGGACTCTCCTAGCTTTCAGGATCAAATAAAAGCTGATGTTGGAACAATAGTTCAAGTAGAGGTTATATTTGGTCTTCAGGTATTGGCTCCCTTTCCCGGGTGGAATTATTTCTTGCTCTATCAACTGTAACAATGGCTCTAGCTCATCTTTCACTTCTCTTAACTTGACTTTTAGGTCTTCTATAAGCTCCAAGAGCTCTGGTGATTCTTTTCGCAGCATCTTTAGCTTCTCTTTTACTGAAATTTTAGCCAAATTCTTGACGACCCGTGTTTCAGCTTCCTCTACCGGAGGCATGGGTTTTGCAAAGGACTCCACCCAGGCGACTCCAAAATCATCCTCTTGCAGGGCTTGGGCTAGGCGCCGCTGAATGACCTGTGCCTCCTCCTCTTCCTCTCTCTCCTCCTCCTCTATATCTTGTTGACTCTGCCGGCCTCGGGATTTGGAGCCATAGTCCGTGTCATAGTAAAGTCTTTTCCTTTGACCCCAAGACAAACTGGGATCCACAGAGGTCTCAGCCTCACTCTGCACGGAGCTGCCGCCGTCGTCATCATCATCAACGCCCTCCTCCCCCACACTCTCTCCGTCTTCGTCTTCATCGTCAAGATCTAGGGCTAGCACCTCCTCCTCGCCATCCTCCTCCTCCCCGCTGTTCACCTCGCTCCAGCCCTTGGCCAAGGCTGCCCGGGCTCGCGCCTCATGAAAGTCATCTACTTCATCTTGGTAGTAGCTGGAGTCCCCAGGCGAGGGTGGCCCTAATAAATCGTCTCCATTTTCGTCTGCCGCGGTGCGACCTCCTCCGGCATGCACAGCTGCCCACCTGGCGGCTCCGCGCCGCCGGGATCTCCTCACCATGGCTCACACGCCGTCTCAGGTTCTACAGCGACACAGAGACTGCAGCCACCTCTGATCTAACAGCGGGAACCACACGCCCCAAAGCGAGCACCACTACTACCACGCTAGTAGCCGCGCGACCATGTAGCTACAGGGATTTCCACTTCCTTCCGGGCTGAGGGGCGGGACTTCCGCTCAGCCCCCACGGGGCCAATCATGTTGCTGGCTCCTTTTCTTGTCTTTCAGTTCCGGCGAATTAAAATCTCTCCGTGTAGGAACAACAGGTTAAAGAAATTGCGTTCCTCAGAGCTCTTTCGCGAGACTTCCATTCTGTCTCGCGTGAGCCTGGAGGCCGGAAGCGTAGCCTCCAAACAAGGCGAGATCGCTGCACCAGCAGGGGGCACTGTGCGCCTGCTCCCGATGGGTGTGAGCGGGCCCCGTGTTTGAGTACGGAGAGCCAAGTCTAGGGTCTGCAGTCTTTGCTCTCCCTCCCCGGCCATTCGAAGTGAGACGGTTTGCTTTCGAGTTTCTCCACTGTAAGCTGCAGACGCCATTTCTGGCGCTGCAGCCGGAGGGCTTGTGGGCGCAGCGCTTGTCCGGAGCGGCCCCGGGGTGCCGGTGGCGGGGAAGGTAGCGGGGGAGGCCGTGCCGAGGTGTGGGCCGGGGAGCTGGGCGGGCGGGCCTTGCGCGCGGCCTTTTGCGCCTCAGTGTCTGCTGTGGAGAGAGCTCTGCTACGGCCCGCTCCCGGGGTGCCGTTGCACACGGGCAGCCCAGCTTCCCCTCACCGAGCTCGTCCAGAGCTCCCCACCCTTCAGGCCTCCTGCGCTTCTTGGTTCCCTGCACGCAGCTTTTCGTCGCCTGGTAAGCAACTGGCGCAGTGTTCAGCCAGATCTGCTGAGTGAACAAGGATTGAAATGACACCACCTGATTGCGTTTTTGGTGCCATATGAAGCCGAGTGAATGATGATGCCTAAGGCTGCAGACATCTCCAAGGGAGATCACCTGACCTAGCACCGGTTTTAGAGACTGTTAATCACAACTTTGATATGGTACATGTGGAAACAGTGGCAAATCTGTCAGAAACCAGGGACACAGCTCCCACACCCGGATTTCATGCCCACACACTGGGGATCGAACCCAGACCCTTTGCCCTGAGTTACATGCCCAGCGCTTTTTAGTTTGGGACAGTCTCAATAAATTGCCCACGCTGGGCTCGTCCTTGGGATCCTCTTGCCTCAGCCTCCCAGTCTTTGCTTCTTTAATGTGAATGAATTTCAGACCTTTTCCAGAGGGTAGGGTGGAAAACCCAGAAGCACAGGTTACTACTGTATATTTGAGGAAGAAGGTGTTAATAAGAACTAGTAAAAGTAATAGAAGAACTAGTTATGCTGGACTTAAGATGTATTATTTAGAGATAGAGGTTTGAAAGGACTATCCAGTAATATTGGTTTAAATTTAGGTTTCTGGACACTGGTATGATGGGTTCAGAGTTAGTATTATGACACCCTCAAGTGTAGGAAGTTGGAAGCTGAACTCTGCTAAAATTAATGGTGACATCATCTTTACAGAAAGTATAGTGTCATGTTAAGAAAATAATTTTCAGAAAAAGCAGTGCTTGCTTTTTTTTTTTTTTTTTTTAAGTGCTTGCTTTTTTGAGACAGGCTTTCCCTATGCAGTTCAGGCCAGCCTTGAACTCACCAGTCCAGACTGCCCTTGAACTCCTGGGAGTCCCTTGCCTCAGCTGCCTGAGTGCTGGGATTACAGTTGTGTGCCACCTCGCTCAGCTTTAGAAAATACAATTTAATGACTGAAAAGGTGTAGGTGAAAAATCTATATTCATATAGTAAGCATGAAATAATAAAATTATTGCTGTAGTGGGGATTAAAGCCAGGGATGCCCTACCAATGAGTTACATTGCCTTTATTTTTTTTTTTAATTTTGAGGCATGGTCTTGCCCATTTGCTCAGGCTGGCCTCAAACTTGGGATCATCCTGCCTCAGCCTCCCGAATAGCTGGGGTTATAAGTATGTGCTACCATCTCCAGCTTATGAAATTCATTTTGGAATGTAAATACTAATGTTTTTTTTCATTGAGGAATTATCTGCTTATATATGTTACTGTGCTTACATTATATACTGTAGTTGCTCCAAAGGCAAATTAGCCATTTAAGGAGCATATAATTGAGTAGAAAAAAAGACGTGGCCTCAAGGGGCTTATCACCAGGTGGAAAAGACACAGAAAGATTACCAAGATATCAGGCAGTGTGCATCTTCCATGTAGTTCAGTAAGAGATTAGCAGGATGAGAGATGACATCCAGATTGCTGTTTTGCAAATGTAGGGCTTTGGTATAGCTCATGGGCAGAGTGTTTTCCTAGCACGCACAAAGCTCTGGGTTCAATCCCCAGCCCCACTGAACCCCCACCAAAACCCAACCAAACCAAAAAAAACAAAACAAAAAGAATGTTATATCTAAGATGGCACTGTAATTATATCCTTACTAACTGTCCTACATTTTTCTTGTATCAAAACATTTAGGCATATAAAGCAAATACTAATTGCTATAGATAAATTAGAAAACTTTTAAATGGGAGTGATCATATCACTCCAATATTATTTAAACATTACATTTCCTGTCTATTTAGAATAGTTTAAGTAATGAATATTTAGAGTACTATATTCTAACATTCTAAGATTTTTTTTTTTTTTTTTTTACTAAAGAATAGTTTAAAAGTCAGTTCTTTGTGGCTGGGGATTTAGCTCCGTGGTTCTGGCTCCTGCCTCGCAAGCACAAGGCCCGGAGTTCCATCCCCGGTACCAAAAAAACAAAAAAAAATCAGTTCTTCAGTTCCAACAGCTTCATCATACCATTCCTAAGCCTAATATTAGAGTTATTTACCATTTAGATAAGGAATGTTTTGTTGAAAATTTGTGTTTCTAAGCTGGGCATGGTGACGCATGCCTATAATCCTAGTACTCAGGAGACTGAGGCAGGAGGATAGCTGTGAGTTCAAGACCAGCCTACTGAGACCCTGTCTCCAAAACAAAACAAAACAAACCCCAAAACATGTTGAGTTTCCAGAAAAAAATGAATAAAAACTAACACTCTTTGACATTAAACTGTTACATTTTTGGCAAATGCAATTTATCATTATCTTTATTACATTATTTTGGTATCTGGCTCTACATGTAGGACCAGCAGATTTTCTTTATGCCCTAAGCCATGTAGGGGATTCTCATTGTGGAAGGCAGAGTTCTGTGACTGACACCCTGGGTGGTACAGGGGACTTCCCCCCCAGGTGTGTGTCCTGGTGGTTGAAAATGTCCCACCGGATCTGTTTACACATCTGTTTCTTCCTGAAATACTGAAGCAATAATATTTAATGATAGCTAACATTAAGAATGGTTTCTTTGTTTATCTGTTTTGGTTTTTGAGATGGTTGCTATGTACTTCAGGCTGGTTTTGAACTCACTATTAGCCCAGGCTGGCATCCAGCTCACAGTGATCCTCCTTCCTCAGCCTACTGTGTGTGCCATACCATATGTGCACCATTCCATGGCTGGCATGAGTGGTTATATGTCCCAGGAAGTGTCATAAACTCTAGACAATCAGCCTTCTGAAAAAGGTACTGTAATAATCTCTATGTCTGAGGAAACAAGCGCAGAGGGCTTAAATGAGGTGATAAAACTCTTAGGTGGTAGAACTAGATTTGAACCTAGTCTAGCTCCAGAATCTATGCTGTGCTATAATGAACTATTGTACTATGCTGGCTTTCAAATATGGCCTTAATAGCTCTCCTAATTTTTAGTATCTTGTACATTTTAATCTGATGTCATCCATATATAACTTCCCAGAATACTATTTCCATCACCCTACACCCTGGTTCAAACTTTCAGTGACTCTCAGTTCCTATCAAGAAAAAGTTTTCACATCATACGTCATCCCCAAACATCTTTTATTTTTATGATATTGAAGATTGAATCCAGGGGTGCTCTACCACTGAGCTATGCTACCGGCCATTTTAATTTGATTTTTAAATTATTTTTTGGCTGCTAGAACAATAACAAACTGGACTCTTTCATAGCTGGTTATAGTAGATACCAGTTTTAAATATTTTTCTGATATTTCTTCTCAACACGCCATGTCTTTCCAGTCACGTAAACATCAAAATACATGGGCAAGTTTGTAGTTTATTAATTTATGCCTCTTCAGTGACTATATTTGAATGACTATATAGAGATAATTTGATTATAGAAAATTGGTAAAAAAATAGGTTCATTCTAATAATAGCTATAGACAGGACTATTCATGTTTGTATAACTGTGCCTAAATTGTGTTATTCAGGTAAACAGTGATTTTTTTTTCCCCATTCTGCTATCCACAGCCAATTTCAGAACAAAGTTTATGGTTTCTAAGACAGATACTGTGCAGCCAATCTAGGTGAATGCTGTATGTTGCTATACTTAGTGTAGCATATGTTTCTGTGCTACAGCATTTCAAAGCAGTAGCCTTTAACAGTGCATTGTCTTTTGAGCTTCTGTACTTATCAACAGGGTTTTTAATTTTATGTATGTATGCCTGTCACAAGGAAGACCTTGCAGGTAATTTGATTGGCATCATTTTTTTTTTCTTTTCTTTGTGGCTTATAAACTCATGGTGTTTCTTAAAGCAAGCAAACCATGAAATATTTAATATACCACTGTTGTGAATTTAAACGAATGCTTAAATACACGTTTACTTTCTATTTGAGCATTACAAACTAGCTTAGGATAACTTTAAAGGAGTTGTCAAAAGGAATATAATCATAATGTACTGCAAACATGTACTAATAAAAAACTTTTTAAAAAGTACTGTAGCTTGTTTTAATTGCTTAGTGAGTTATAGTAAGGTAATAATTTGATATGAAAACAATAGGAAAATGTATTCTTGGTGTTAATAGCTCTCAAGCTACTTAGTGTAATCACAGAAACTCAGTGAACTATTGATACAAAAAATGAAAGGATTATTTTTAGATGTAAGAAAGAAAATGTAAGAGGTGAAGTATAGTTGCCATCTGCTTTCATTTCTGTTAGAAACCACTTACTCTGTATAGCTTTTTTTTTTTTTTTTGCAAATAAGGTCTATATTTATCTTAAGTCACACACACAAAAAAATCTTAAAAGTGATTTGGAAGCAAGATATGAAATGTCTACTGAAATATATTGTAAACATTTGAACCTTTATAGGGATATACTTAAAATATGGCTTTGATAGCCTTAATTAAATATGGTTTGGTAACCTTAATTACAAAATGAAGAATTTAATGAGATTGTGATACTGCTTTCCTTTTGAAGCTCTAATCCAACTGAAAACTGTGTAATAATTTTTTAAACATGACTTTAATCATGAGACACATCTATACAGTTATTTATATGTGAAATAGTAATCCATTGATAGGTCCAGCTTTGGTGGTGAAGGCTCAGGTAAATGGTTTTCCTTTAGTCATTCCTCAATTCTTTACAGAGTAAAGTCCTTAGGTTTTAGCCAAATATTCCAATAGCCTTTAGCCCAATAGCCTTTATCTGGCTGCAAATTAGTTTTCCAGTTGCTTTCCTACTACTTTTCTTCTTGAATTCTACATTTTAGGCAAACTAAAATATCATTGTTATTCTCCTTTTCTCCCCCTGCCCCTTTCTCCTTTTTTTTTTTGAGACAAGGTCTTGCTATGTAGTCTAGGCTGGCCTCCAACTCATGGCAATCCTCCTGCCTGCCTCAGCCTGCTAAGTGCTGGGGTTATAGGTATTTGCCACCACACCTGACTTCATCTTGTTTTGAGATTTCTTTCTCTGGGCTTAGGTTAGACTGCTCTCCATCTCATTCTTACATGGCCTTCAAGGCCCGTCTGAAATGATATTTCTCTAGGCTGTTATCTCTGATATATTTACTCCCATTAACATCTACTAATTCCTGAACTCCTCCTGTGTTAGGTATTTCTAAACATTTTCTCTATTGTGTTAAGATTAGTCATCTGCTTGTCTTATCTTTTCCACCAGAAATATGACCATTCTCTGTAAATCTTGTTATAGCTAACATAGTTAATTATATATGATAAATACTGACAAATAGCTGATCAAATAATGAATTAAATTGAGCCCTGTTAAATTTCGATAAGGTATTAGAAGTTATTGAAACAACCTAAGAATTTAATAAGCTGTTTACAAAATAGGATATTTATTTCGGGTATGGAGGGATAAATGAAACTTTATGCTTAGAGCAAAGAGGAACCTTTGAGGGTTTTAGATGGAAAGAGATAGGATAAATAATTGAAGGATGCAGAATTGCAGGTAGACAGTTACTGCGAGAAATCTCACATTGAAAGCCAATATTTTGTAAAATTAATAGACATTAATAGAAATATTTTTAAAAAGAATATGGTATTACTGTGGGATCATTACAGTCATGTAGGGATGAATTTTTTTTTTTGAGGTACCAGGGATCGAACTGAGGATCTTGCGTTTGCCAGGCAGTCGGCAGCACCACTGAACTAAATCCCCAGCCCGTAGGGATGAATTTTAACATGCCAACTAGGACCCTGCAGATAAGAATATGCAAAGCACACAGATTAAGAGCTACTTTTTTGTGTGGGTATGATTGAACCTGGGACCCTCACACTGCCCTATATCCCCAGGCCTAATATTTTAACTGAAGACAAAGATTTGAGGTTATTTTTTCCTTAACTAGCTAGCACACATCAACTGGTAGACCAGAAGAATTATATAATACCTGCTGATAGAACTTACCTATTTCTGTATTAGTCAGCTTTTACTACTCTAACAAAATACCTGAGATAATCAACCTAAAAGAGAAAGGTTTTATTATCTCCCAGTTTCTGAGGCTGTTGTCCATGACGGCTTGGGTCCATTGCATGTGCGCCTGTGGTAAGGTGGTGTGTCCTGAGGGAGCGTATGCAGGAGCACTGGGGTGTGCCCCCCATAGCTGGAAGACTTCCTAGGGTCCATACCTCCCGCAGTGCCCTGGGCTTGGAAAGAAGTCTTTAACTTGAGTACTTTTGGGGTACAGTTAATCAAACTAACTCTCCAAGGGTCACATTAAAGTGGCTCCATAAACAAGTGAACAATATGCAATTAAATATATAAACCCATTCATGTTTTAGACTTCTGACTCTTTGGAACTAAATCATGGAAAAGTGCTGACCAGAAAATACCTCTGTGCTAAAGTGTTAATAGTGTCTGGGCTTTCTCTACTTGTGCCTGCCAATAGGATTGATTTTTGTAGGTGTTCATCTTGTACAGGCCCTGTGCTATTTCCTCTCAGTCCATTATCTTATTTAACTCACAGCATGTCTGTAAGAATGGCACCATTATTACAGATGAGACTCAAGTGTGAAGTGATTGGCCTTAGTCACTTGGAACCCAAAACAGTTTCACTGTGAAGATGACTTTCTGAATCAGTGTTACACTCTTTTCTTGGTTGTATTTTATGAGCAATGAAAAATTGTAGGGCCCAGATATACAGTATTCTGGAATGCTCAGATTTACAGACTAAGATTATGTAGAAACACAGTATCAGTTTAAACCAATATGATGGCAGAAGAACAGGTGAATTAATTGGGTATAGTGGCACACACTTATAATCCCAGCACTAGGGAGGCTGAGGCAGGACGATCATGAGTTCAAGGCCAGCCTGGAATGTATAAAGTGACCTTGTCTCAAAAACAAAAAAAAAACAACAAAAGAATTAAGATACATTATGTACAGGTACAGATTATCTATGATGAATGTGATCATTATGTATGTAAAAAATGTACCAATAAAATCAATTTAAAAATAAATTTAAAAAAAACCCCAAAACAACAAAAAAAGATGAATTAAGGAGCAATCAGTCATTGCATCTTTCCAGTTTTGTTTTGGGACTAATGCAGTAGGTGTGTTCAGAGTGCAGGCAAAAATCATAAAGCATAATGAGAGGTTATTATTCAGAGATTGGTCTATTACTCCTTCATTAATTAATTATGGTAAGATTTAGTCTTAATGTTTTCTTCTGTAATTCAAATATAAATTATTTATTTACTGTAAGTTATTTTCTTTCAGTTTATTTTTGTCTGTCATGATTGCCATATCAGAGCATTACCTCACACCATGATTTCTAACTACTGTGATATTTTAGTACATATCATTTAAAATAACAGTGAGTACATATAAGAGATTTGGCTTCAGATACATGTAAATAACTAGTATTCTCATATTATATTGGAAAACTTATTTATGTTGTTTATGAGCAGAACTGGGTGAAGTTATTAATAACCAAGTATGTATTACAGTTGTTCATGTAAAATCACTACAATCATCTTGTATAATAATGCCAACTTTACATCCATGTAACACATTTTAATTTTGCATAGCACACAATATCTTTTTTGTTTTTTGGTACCAGAGGTCAAACTCAGGTCCTTGTGCTTTCGAGGCAGGTGGTGGAACCACTGAGCTAAATCCCTGGCCTCATAGCACATAATATCTTACTAGGTGTAAGGGCAGGTATGTTGAAACATGCAGAGTATGTAGTCTCTGGACTTACACCAATATACAGAGATTGATTTCATCGAATGGTCATATTTCCTTTTAACTCTGAATTGTCAGTGCTGTGGTAGTCTCTGCCTAGATCATAGTTATATCTTTTTGCCTGGCTTCTAGGAATGTTTCACTCATAGCCTTGATACCCTTTCCTCTAGGAAGTGTTCCTTGACCCAGCCTCTTCCTTTCCCCCTGTATGCCATAGTCCATTATCATGCAAATATTATAATTACTACCTGTGTTTTCATCTGATCCAAGATCATATATGTTTCATTCACTTGCATCCCTGCTATGTAGAGTAAATGCCAATATGTATTTGTTGAATTAAAGAATAAGTGAGTGAAAAAACATTTGAATTGAGAACAAGGAAAGCTCCCTTATCCTTACAGACTATATTATCTGTTTGCTATAATGGCAACTTTATTTGGCTTAAAGAGAAGTTCTTTTAAGTAAAATATGTGGTTGCCCTAATTATACAAGAAGATTATGAATCAATAGATGGATGTATTACTTTCCTTTTGGAGCTGTAATAAATTTCTACTAACTTAGTAGCTTTATACACTATCCTTATACATCTGTTGTGGTGTTTGAGTTAAAATCAAGGTATCTTCAGGGCTGTTCTTTCTGGAGTCTCTAAGAGAGAATCTGTTTCCAGGCCTTTTCCAGCTTCTAAGGGCCCAGAAAAGAGGCTGCATTCCCTGGCTCACAGCCCCTTCCTTCACCTGTAAAGCCAGCTTTGTAGATCTCTGCATCGCCTCATCATCTCCTGTCTCCTTTTATGGATCCTGGTGTTCATGTTGGACCCCCATGGGTAGCCCTGGATAATCACATGTGAAGGTCAGTTTATCAGCATCACAATTTCATGTGCAGCCTGCCTTTCTCCTAGCCATGTGATGGAACACATTCACAGGTTCTGAAAATTAGGACATTTTTATGGATCGTTAATCTGACTACCTTAATAGCTTAGCTTTTATGTCAGTTCAAATGAAGATGCTATCTTTTTTCAGTATAAAATAATAATAAAAGATGCTAAAATTATTTATTGCAGCCATGTTTTTGATGCTTTATACTTTTTTTTTTTGGTACTTGGGATTGAACTTGGGTCCTTGCACTTGCACAGCAGGCAGCAAAACCACTGAGCTAAATCCCCAGCCCGCTTTATACTTATTAATGCTCATCAATCTTATGTATATATTGTAGTCATGCTATTTTATAAATGAAACTGAGGAAAAGAGGTTTTAAGTAGCTTTCCAAAGCCCCACTGATCCCAGGAAATACCTGATTACAAAGCCCTTGTTGTTGAGTCACTGGGAAGACTGAGTAGATACATCTTCAGACAGATAGTTGTATCCAGACTTAAAAAATCATCACCTGAGTGCCAAGGATTTAGCTCAGTGGTCCCACCACCTGCCTCGAAAGTGCAAGGTCCCAAGTTCGATCCCCATACCAAAAAAAAAAAAATCATCAACTGAATATTCTGTATGATGGGTTTTCCCTTTCTCCTTGTTATTAAAATGGATTTAGAATGGCATTTGCATGTGGTATAAACAGTTTGAATAGAAAAATTAGAACAAGAAAAGTTGATTTTCTGGCCTATTTTCCCAAATATGTCTTAATAGTTTTGGTTTCTTTTCTTTTCTTCTTTTTTTTATGTTTTTGGTGGTGGTTAGGATTGAACCCAGGGCTCATCCACACTAAGTGCATGCTCGGTTGCTGAGCTGTGCCCTAGCCTTAGTGCTAGTTCCCCCTTATGGGTGTCTCTTGGTACTACTCTTTGTGACCCTCCTCCCCCAATCTAGAAAGTGTTAATTTAGTATAGACTAGAAATTATGGACGTATGAAGAAAAGTGATGAAAAACGTAAAGTAACATGGCTATCTGTGAAATGTTCTGTGGAGATCTAAGATGAACTAGTTAGTGGTGATGAAGTGAGACTGAAAGGGTGGACTCAATGGGATGACTTTAAGCATGGACTTGCTAGAGATAATTTTAAAGATTTTAGGATTTTGACAAGAGTTGGGAGGAAAGAAAGTTAAATTTATGGTAAGGAAAATGACAGAATAAAAAAGATTCTGAAACAGAAATTAGAAAATCATACAATAAAGAAAAAAGAAAGCAGATATATTTGACTACACAAGAGCCTCTCCCCAAAATAGGTTCCAAGTTTCCCTAGAACAGGGAGGGAACAGACCAGTAGAGGTCACGAGCTGGAGGGCATGTGTTAACATTGTTGGAGGGGTTTCCTGGGAATTTTTTTTTTTTTTTTTGGTACCGGGGATCGAACTCGGGTCCTTGCGCCTGCATAGCAGGCAGTGAAACCACTGAGCTAAATCCCCAGCCCGGGAATTTTGTTTATTGTGTTTTCAGAGCAATTTCCCTGAAATCTAAACAGATTTTCTTCAGATGAGGTTTTGGAAGTGGGCCATGTGTGTATGAGGACCTGCCCAGAAAGTCGTGTGGTGGGGAGGGACTCTGTGGGCAAACGACTGACACGTAGCATCCCAAATAGCACTTCTGTGAAAAGCACTGCAGGTGCAAGTTTATTTAAAACAGACCACAACACAGGTGCGATTCCCTTTGTAAACACCTAACCACAGAACCCTGCCTATGTTTCTATGTGGAAAGCTGTGGGAAAGAAAGAATTTGGTTTTATGTCTGTCTTAATTTTTTAATTTTTAGAAAGAATGTGGAATCAAATTTCTTCCTCACATTTTGAATTCTTTTTAACTTTAGTATTTGCCTCCTGATAGCTAAATGAAAATTTTACTGATACTGTACTGTGATTGGATAAAGAACAACACGACAGTCTGCGTGTAAGAACCAAAATATGCAGGGTTTAAAAAATGCCAGTTTGGGCCGGGGATTTAGCTCAGTGGTTCCACTGCCTGCTGTGCAGGTGCAAGGACCTGAGTTCGATCTCTGGTACCAAAAAAAAAATGCCAGTTAGAAGAAATTTTTAGCGGGGCATGGTTACAGTGCAAGCCTATAATCTAGCACTTGGGAAGCTGAACCAGGAGGATCACTGCAAGCTGAGGCCAGCCTGAACTACACAGCTAGAATTTGTCTCAAAAACAAACAAAAGAAAATTCTCCATATAGATGGGGGAAAATAATAGTTATATACAGTAAAATAGACTAGAATTTAGGCCTAGGATCAACATTTAGCTTTAGAATGACTAAGATTGATTCTAAAATTCAAAATAGCCTGGTGTGGTGGTGCATACCTGTAATCCCAGCATTAAGGAGGCTGAGGCAGGCGGATCACCTTGGGCTCAAAGCCAGCCTGGGCTACAAAGTGAGAACCTGTCTCAAAAAAACAAACAAAAACTTTTTAAACTTGTACAATTTAGAGAAAAAAATTCCTCATATGTAAGTCCACGATGTCGTTGCTGTGGTTTTCCCCCTTCTCTGTTGCATCCACAAGTTTTCCTGCTTTCTCCATGTCCTCTGCAGGCCCTGCTCTTTCCATCTGCGTGCCCTTACTTCCTGTTTCCTCACTTAGAACAGTATATTTCTTTTTCAAGTGAGTTTTTTTTCCTTCACATTGCTTTAAATGAGAGATTATCCTGGGTTTTCCATAGGAGCCCCGTGTAATCACAGCAGCCTTTAGAAGAAGAGGACTTTTGTAGCAGAAGCAATGACAGAGGGCAGGAGATCTGAAACTGAGACATCTGACCCTTTGTTGCTGGCCTAGACACCAGGCCGCTTGCCAGGCCCACTTTGGGCATAGCCGCATGGAGTTGCGACCTAGGTGCTGCAGCATCTGGGACTGTGTTCTGCCCAAAGCTTAGCGAGGATAACCAATCATCTGTTTGGAACCGCTTCATTTATGTCCTGGCTAGGCCAGCATGGGCTCCTGCTGTCCCACTGTCCTGTCTCCGCCTGTTTCTCAGGGCTGTTCTTGAAAGTGGACTGCTATAGTCCTGCTCCACATTTTCTCAGCACAGGGCTTTGTTATCCCAAACTGTCGTGAGTTTCATCTCAGGTGTTTGCTGTCCTCGTTCTTTTCCCCATAGCAGGGCCTGGTTCTTGATGGTCATAGCTGTATCCTAGCACCAGGGGTATAACGTCTCAGATGAGAGTATGCATAGCAGATACTAAGTCTAAAGCAAACACGTACTGAAAAGTAGAAAAAAAGAAACCAAAAACTCCATTTATTGATTTTTTTTTTTTGAGACAGTCTCATTATGTAGCTCAGGCTGGCCTTGAAATTGCTGCTATCTGATCCTCCTGCCTCAGCCTCCCCAGTGCTGGGATTACAGAAGTACAGCACCATGCCTATTGGAAAATAGTTTTTTAATATAATAGTAAATGAGGTAAACCTAAATAGAGGCTTTATGTCAACCTATATCAACATAATGGAATACTGCAGAACTACTTCAAAGATAAACATAATCTATCAATTTTTTTTTTTTTTTTGGTACCGGGGATGGAACTTTGGTCCTTGCACTTGTGCAGCAGGCGGCGAAACAACTGAGCTAAATCCCCGGCTATCTATCAATTTTTTGAAATCAGTTCATAAGATATACATGTGACCAAAAAGGAACAAAATATTTTTGATAGTGACTCAGTTTTTAATTTATTCTGAATATGCAAATTGTAAAACACCCATATCCAATTATTCAGTTTTGGAAATAAAATGTCACAAATATAGTTGCAGTTGCTTACGTACTCCTTAATAGTATTAGGCATGTCCTTAAATTTCTGTGGACAGTGATTCTGGGTAGTTTATATCTGTTCCTGTGGGTCAGGACAGAAGCACCCTCTGAAGGAGGAGGGAGGTTCAGGGCAAGCACAGGTCCTGGTGGGATGGGTTGCCAGGCTGGTCAGGGGCTGTCTCTGTTTTATCCTAGAGAAGAGGCCTCTTCTGTCCTTCCTCAGTCATGGTATACAGGACTGACTTGTGGAACTTACTATTATTTGGGGAATTTTAATTAGTTGTTTGGTTTTTTTTGATACCAGGGATCGAACTCAGGTCCTTGCGCTTGTGAGACAGGCGGTAGTTTGTTTAATATCAAACTTATAATTAAATATGTGTCTAGTACATATAATGATTTTTCCACTTTCGAATGCTTTGCCTTGTTTCACTCCTTTTTAAGATCATTTTTGCTGTTGTCTTCTCTTGACAGATCTTCACTCTAGTGCCAATAAGATATTCCCTTGGTTTATTTCTCCGTGTTGATTCAATAGTTACCTATGCATTGTGTCAAAGATATAGGAAGCAGAGCTCTGATATATATGAAGAAGGTATAAATGTTGTGTTTCTGATGCCCCTTTAACATTTTTTAGAAGTGATGATTTTTGGATAGAAATCTCTGAAATCATATATGTTCGTTGTGGGAATGTCAGTGTATTCTATGATTCTGAGCTTGTTACATGTTCTTGAGGATAAAAGTAAACATAGAGTTCCTCTGTGATAGACTGGAAATTTGTCAGATGCAAAATTTTTATCTCAAATATATATTTTACAGTCTTCATTAAATGTTTTTCCTCCTCTGAAATCAATAGAGTCTGGAACTTCTTCATATTGGTGCTAAGGTAGTGAAAGAAGATAGCTTAGAGAGATTTCAGGACTATTAATTCTCTTTTCACATTTTTTTAAATTTTTATTTTTTTAACATGGTGTCCTCTTTTTTTGGTTTTAATTTTTTAATTAGTACATGTTTCTGTACATAATGATCACATTGCTTGTGGGAGTTGATACATGTATATAACATATGTGCTTTTTAAATCCCTATTTCCCTTCTTCCTCCATCTCTTGGTCCCCTTTTCTTCACAAAAGCTCTGTCTCCCTTTTTCCTATTATCTTTCACTCTGCTCTTTGTTTATATTTCAGGTT